TCTTAACATCATCTGTTTCTAAAAGCTCCCTGTTTTTCTAGCGTTTTATCCCTTGGCAAACTGTCTGCTTCTCAGGTCAGATAGTGTAAACGAAAAAAGATATTTTCGTGCAAAATGGCTAACATTGCTGATATTTTGATGTTGTATCTTTGTTGTTTCCGTGCAGCACTGAGTAACAGGCTACTAACAATTCAAGGATTAGACGAAGAAGGAACACTGCACGGCGTGTATCTAAACGGAAAGTATTTTATCTCATGCGAACAACATGGACAAGGCACTTGTAATGTTGGGACGCCGGAGACCTGGTACCAAGCTCGAGATAAGGCTAGTACAATCATCGCGATTGAAGTGCCAATTTATCCTGAGACGGGACTGCAGACTACAGACCAACCCACCTCCCCTCTCATACGCTGGGATAACCAAGGACGAGCCTGGGGAGGTAATGTACCACAATATAACAAGAATTGCGCTGTCATTTTCGGATCAAATCCACGCCCAGGTGGTTTCCTTTAGAAGTTAATTTAATTAAAATTTTCCGATGAGAGTCCCAGGCCTTTCCATATGGAAGTACCACCCCCTGGAGGGGAGTGGGGGGTGGGGGGTTGGGGAGACTAAGAAGGGATGAACTGAAAATGCACTTTGGTCGATGAAGTGATAAAAATAGCATCAACACATACAAGTCACGGTGTATTCGAGTTTGTCTTTATCGTGCCCTAAAGTAAGCTTTCCTGGATCTCGTAGATGAAGTGCTCACTGCAGCAAAAAAGAAATTTAAGGGGAACTAACCACGGTAGATGATGACAACACAGCGGAAAACTTGTTGTGGCCTTGCACCGGGGATTTTGTTCATGTCGGATAGTTCTCGAGAAATTCATACCTACCTTACTACCATTGCCAAGTTGATATGTGTAACTTTTCAAGAAACTACTAAAAAAACATTTGCATATTTATTTTATGCAGCTTCAGCTCGAGGTATTCACCTCTCCCAACAGTCAAGTCCTTTCGACTGGAAACTAGTTTTAACCTGGCGAGATTACGGTAAGTGCTTCAGAGAACTCGGATGATTAAAGCTGGATTCAGATTTTGCCGGAAATGCACTTTTGCTAAAGTGATCGTGCAAGATTTATCTCACTTAGTTAATGGAGACTTATAGTATTAATCAGTTACGTGGGGAACAACTTTTGTAATGAAATTTAATATATAGGCACGAGCGGTTTACTGAACAATATCCACTCGCAAAATTCCTACGAAACTACATTCGGGACCCAAATGGCGTATTTTCCATGTCCTCACTAGTAAGGTTATTGATGACGTCATTTCTTGCTGTTTCACGGTATAAAATGCAAGTAGTCAATTTATCTACGAGTATCAGGAATAAAAAGAAAATTACATGTTCTCCGTGTTTCTATCAAGTTATAAAACACTCGTGAAAGTTTGGGAGAACTCGAAAAAGCTGTGGAAACACTCGCCTGCGGCTCGTGTTCCCACAGCATTTCTCGTTCTCCCAAACTTCCACTCGTGTTTCTATAACTCGAAAGAAACACGGTACATGTTTTGTATTTCTTAAATGTGGGTTATATTGTCAGCGCTCTCCATGCGGACATTTCAATAGCTCAACCTGTGCTTTCAACCGATAAATAAGGGTGCTCTTTATCGCTTACAAGCAAGACAGTCTAAATCCCTTAAGAAGACTTTTAAGACTCAAAACCCGCTCCACTGCATTCTGATTCGAACAAACCGAGAACGGTACCTTGGAACCAGAATTTCCACTGGAATCTCTTTATCACCCCCAAAACATGTTAAAGTTGATGGTTTAAGATAGTCTGCAAGACTTCGACGGCTTTAAACTTGTACTCTTTTGCTATTGCCAGATTTTGATGAATGCGCGAGCTCTACTTGTGAGAACAGAGGAACCTGTGTTATAGTCGATGACGGCTTTGTGTGTTTTTGCTCGGCCGGGTGGACTGGGCTCCGATGTGAAACAAGTATGTCATGATGCGCAGTAATGTATGCTTCGTTATCTGGTAAAGTTAGGTTCATTGCAGTGAGTTAGGAGCGGGTAGGTGTGTGGGTGGATGTAGAAACAAATAGCTAACAAAGATCGTAATCGTACATTGAAACGAACGCAACATGTCTTCGTACTTTCCACTTTAATTATCGTAGTAGTCCTTTCCACAAATATCACGTAAAATTGCCTGACTATCTTTCAGTAAATTCTCGAGAAACAATTTATAAATATTTCTTATTTTTGTTTTAAAAGATAAATTTTGAATCCCTTAGGCTAAAATTTTCACACCTTTCTTGAAGCAGCAGATGTTGTGGAAGAAGTTTCAGGTACTTCTATGATATCGGCATCCGCCATTTTGGAAAATGGCTGAAATGGATTCTTTCTGGTATAGAACTGAGTATTGTTTCAGGAAAATTGCGAGAAAAACACAGGGCTAAGTAAAAACCAAAGCTATGAATATTTCTATATCCTCCTAAATTTTCTAAATATCTTAATATTCGTAAATATCTCGGATATTTGTGGAAAGGCCTATATCAGAATACTTGAGTTGAGTTCAGTTGAGCTGAAAAACTTCATTTATACACGGCAAAAATTCCTTCACTTTTATTAAGAACTCGGTGAATCCCTCGAATTCTTCAACAATTAGAAAACATGGCTATCATATATTTTCCGGAAATCCAGATATTTGAATCAATATATCAGACACGGGCGATCATGTTTTACCACATTTACAAACATCGAGAAGACGTTTAAAAATACGACGTGTGGTGGAATACGTTTGACGAACTTCAAGGTGTTTGAGCATGAGGTAAAAACCAGTCTCTAGTGTTTCATATATCTTCTCAATCAAAACTAATAAGGATTGAGGTGTAAAACCGTGAAATTAATTCGTAAAAATCTACGTAGAATAATGAATGAGTGAGAGGAAAGGATTATTAGAGTAATCTAATACATTAGACGAACGTTAATAAACTTTCACCCTAAATCACGATGAAAAGCAACAACAACAACAACAACAACAATAACAACAACTCCCATGCCTGTTGTGGGTACACGGAAGCACAGAACTATACATTTTTTCTTTACTTTTACTGACATCAGCTTATTAATATGGAGACTAGATCAAACGGGTTTAACTCCGGGAATTTACTAAGCAAATATAGGGACCGTAGTAAAAGATTCTGGATGAATTTTCAGTTAAATGTTCAGCATTTTCTTAGGTATCAGTAAAGTTTGGAGATCTCGAATCTGAGTTATCAGTTAAAAACGCGTCATTTGATGGCTATAAACATTTTTGATCAATTCTCAACAGCTACCATGCAGACCCTCTTAACACGGTGGTCACATTATAAGGGAGTTGTAAGACGAGGTTACATATACAAAATGATTTGAATAATTGTGTATGCATTGCGGCAATCTATTTCAGGTGTTGACGAGTGTGTGTTAAATCCCTGTCATAATGGAGGGACCTGTATTGACGGACATTTGAGCTACAACTGCAGGTGTGCAGCTGGATACGCTGGGCCTCACTGTGGAACAAGTAAGCCTTTTTTGGTGTGCATATATCTCTTAAATAAATACAGATTTCAACTGTTCACTTTGTCCTTCCCTTTACAACCAAGGTAAAGTACATCCCCCTTTTTGCCACCTGCAAAATTACACGTATTTTGGAGCCGGGTTCTACCACCAAGATGGATCCATAGAATCTCGTCTCCTCATATGACGACAGACACAGTCAGACGGGGGAGACGGGAAGGGGAAGAGGGTTGGAAGGGAATGAAGAATCCCATGTGAGAAGTTCGAGGATACTCGAGGATGTTCGAGGATGATACTTGTGGCTAGTTGTGTTTGTAGTTGTGGCTAGAATTTTATTTGACCCCTAAAGATACCACTTAAAGCAAAAATGACAGCGTCTCTTTATTATTTGTTCGAGTACATCCAAAAAGATACCTTTTGCGATGCCTTCAAAAAACAGTTGCGTTTGGTCCTGAAAAGACTAAGTGGGACCAAAATCCGTGCATCCTCGACGTTTTAAAATAGGAGTCTTCCCGGACTCAGGCTAGGGAAAGACGTAATTCAGCTCTCGACAAACGGGTCAATGCAGTAGGAGCTTGGTTCGATTGATTCCTTGAAATATTGCTTCTCTACCTGCATAGCATACAAGATGGTCACATGCTTTGATCTACAAAATAACTTGAATCATTTTTTTTTATGAATTGCGGCAATCTATTTCAGGTGTCAACGAGTGTGCGTCAAATCCCTGTCAACATGGTGGGACTTGTGTTGATGAACATCTAGGCTACAAATGTACGTGTATAAAAGGATTTACTGGGACTGTATGTGAAACAGGTAAGCTTTTTTTGTTGCATGCATGTATCCCTTTGAAATTAAGTAAAAGATGTCTGGGAATTGCGGCAATCTATTTCAGGTGTCAACGAGTGTGCGTCAAATCCCTGTCAACATGGTGGGACTTGTGTTGATGAACATCTAGGCTACAAATGTACGTGTATAAAAGGATTTACTGGGACTGTATGTGAAACAGGTAAGCTTTTTTTGTTGCATGCATGTATCCCTTTGAAATTAAGTAAAAGATGTCTGGGAATTGCGGCAATCTATTTCAGGTGTCAACGAGTGTGCGTCAAATCCCTGTCAACATGGTGGGACTTGTGTTGATGAACATCTAGGCTACAAATGTACGTGTATAAAAGGATTTACTGGGACTGTATGTGAAACAGGTAAGCTTTTTTTGTTGCATGCATGTATCCCTTTGAAATTAAGTAAAAGATGTCTGGGAATTGCGGCAATCTATTTCAGGTGTCAACGAGTGTGCGTCAAATCCCTGTCAACATGGTGGGACTTGTGTTGATGAACATCTAGGCTACAAATGTACGTGTATAAAAGGATTTACTGGGACTGTATGTGAAACAGGTAAGCTTTTTTTGTTGCATGCATGTATCCCTTTGAAATTAAGTAAAAGATGTCTGGGAATTGCGGCAATCTATTTCAGGTGTCAACGAGTGTGCGTCAAATCCCTGTCAACATGGTGGGACTTGTGTTGATGAACATCTAGGCTACAAATGTACGTGTATAAAAGGATTTACTGGGACTGTATGTGAAACAGGTAAGCTTTTTTTGTTGCATGCATGTATCCCTTTGAAATTAAGTAAAAGATGTCTGGGAATTGCGGCAATCTATTTCAGGTGTCAACGAGTGTGCGTCAAATCCCTGTCAACATGGTGGGACTTGTGTTGATGAACATCTAGGCTACAAATGTACGTGTATAAAAGGATTTACTGGGACTGTATGTGAAACAGGTAAGCTTTTTTTGTTGCATGCATGTATCCCTTTGAAATTAAGTAAAAGATGTCTGGGAATTGCGGCAATCTATTTCAGGTGTCAACGAGTGTGCGTCAAATCCCTGTCAACATGGTGGGACTTGTGTTGATGAACATCTAGGCTACAAATGTACGTGTATAAAAGGATTTACTGGGACTGTATGTGAAACAGGTAAGCTTTTTTTGTTGCATGCATGTATCCCTTTGAAATTAAGTAAAAGATGTCTGGGAATTGCGGCAATCTATTTCAGGTGTCAACGAGTGTGCGTCAAATCCCTGTCAACATGGTGGGACTTGTGTTGATGAACATCTAGGCTACAAATGTACGTGTATAAAAGGATTTACTGGGACTGTATGTGAAACAGGTAAGCTTTTTTTGTTGCATGCATGTATCCCTTTGAAATTAAGTAAAAGATGTCTGGGAATTGCGGCAATCTATTTCAGGTGTCAACGAGTGTGCGTCAAATCCCTGTCAACATGGTGGGACTTGTGTTGATGAACATCTAGGCTACAAATGTACGTGTATAAAAGGATTTACTGGGACTGTATGTGAAACAGGTAAGCTTTTTTTGTTGCATGCATGTATCCCTTTGAAATTAAGTAAAAGATGTCTGGGAATTGCGGCAATCTATTTCAGGTGTCAACGAGTGTGCGTCAAATCCCTGTCAACATGGTGGGACTTGTGTTGATGAACATCTAGGCTACAAATGTACGTGTATAAAAGGATTTACTGGGACTGTATGTGAAACAGGTAAGCTTTTTTTGTTGCATGCATGTATCCCTTTGAAATTAAGTAAAAGATGTCTGGGAATTGCGGCAATCTATTTCAGGTGTCAACGAGTGTGCGTCAAATCCCTGTCAACATGGTGGGACTTGTGTTGATGAACATCTAGGCTACAAATGTACGTGTATAAAAGGATTTACTGGGACTGTATGTGAAACAGGTAAGCTTTTTTTGTTGCATGCATGTATCCCTTTGAAATTAAGTAAAAGATGTCTGGGCTTTTCCTTTTACCGGCAAGAAAAAGAGCATCTCCCTTATTCGCCCTCGGTGAAATTATCATTAGAAGCTTGCGGGGGTATTTAAGGAATTGGATCTGCCACAGAAATGATTTCATCTCCTGATGTGGTTACAGAACGAACTAGTCTCTACCCAGTGGAAATGCGGGAGCATGAAATATATTTAATAACATACCTAGAAGCTATGCGACTTAAAATGACTCATTCTTTGAGAATAAATATCCTGAGGATAAATCAAGCGAAACATTGATAAAACTATGATGGAAAAAAAAAAAATGAATTGTTTAATTAAAAAGACAGTGTGACGGTGACTAACTCCTTAAAAGAGAACAATATATGGCACGCACCTGTTTGAATAAAACATCGATAAGTACCTTTGCTTAAACTCAGTGTCAAAAGGTGGTTAAAGGTTATTTTATAAAGTTTACCTACTGTTGAAATTTAGGACCAAAAAGGAGTCCCATCGGGAGAAAAACGCGTAATAGGAGGGTACAGTTATAGGTGTTAAAGAAATGACTTTTATTGTCCATTGGGAACTGTAAATTACTTTATGCGACTAGCAAGTTATAGTTCTCAGTTTTCAAAGAAATTTTTTGGTGAACTTTGTATTGCTTATCAGATATTGATGAATGCGAGGGAGTAAATTGCCAGACAGGTATGTGTGAAGCCTGGGGAGGAAATCCCTGAAGTAGGCTAATCTGGGTGTGGCTAGAACTCTATAACTTTATATTTATACAGAAAACTTTAGCAGTTGTGAAATTAAAGCCTGAAAAAAAATTCAGGCCTGAACGGGATTCGAACCTATGACCTCAGCGATACCGGTGCAGTGCTCTACCAACTGAACTATCAAGCCAACTGGGGGCTGGTCACATTGTGAGTTCTCAATATACCCGTAGATAGAGTGAACATATGAAATATCATATATTCGAACTGCGGAGAAAGACACGAAGATCACAGTTATACAGACTACTTAATCAGTTGTGAAATTAAAGCCTGATAAAAATTCAGCATTAACTCTCTTACCTAATCCTCTCGTGGGGTCAATTTCACCCTCTTTTATCGTTTTTTCGTCTGTGATGCTTTTTGTTCTTCCATCTAGAGCCCATGCATTTTCAGATCACTGCGCTGTGTTCAAAGGCAACACCTTACTTCTATTTCAAAGCGCTTTTTTACGCACT